ACGATCTTTGTGGTTTCTTCTTCTGTTTCAAGACACAACCGCCGTTATTTCGCACGACCATTCTCCATACTTCGCACAAAAACCCACAAACCTCTGAAACAAGGTTCATCGTCAAATTTGAAATCCCTAGTATCGAACCTTACAAACCTCCTTTACATTACTCCACATTTACAACTTTATCTCGAAAACCGGTACGTACAGTGACCGAAAAAAGTATTCATACACCCTGTAAAATGGAATAACTTTTTTAAAATTGGGCCAAACGACTTGAGTTTTTTTGAGAAGTTAGAAAGATTAATTTTGAGAAAACTGCAATTAGTCGGAATCGTGAAGGAAATAGCGAAGGCCGTTTTTACAACTTTTTTATCTGAACTCGTAATGAAAATTTGAAAAATACGTTTTGTAGATCTATGTCAATTATACACACGCTGAAAATTTGATCGAAATCGAGTTACAAACGGTTAAAGATTGTGAAAATCGCACTATTTCACGACTTTCGGCCTAGAACTAACAAAACTGCAGATTCTTACATCTTTCGATGCCTGTCGCTTGTTTCTCCATCCACCGATTTCGATATTCGCTATTTCCTTCACGATTCCGACTAATTGCAGTTTTTCCAAAATTTTTTTGACACGTCATCTAGTAAACTAATTTTTCTAACTTCTCAAAAAAAAAGTCAAGCCGTTTGGCCCAATTTTAAAAAAGTTATTCCATTTTACAGGGTGTATGAATACTTTTTTCGGTCACTGTATGTGCACTACCGGCCGAAAGTTTGGAATCACCTCCCACTTTTCATCGATATTAAATCTGCTGCTAATTTTTTATAGATTTGAAGTTTATCTCAATTCTACATTTATCAATTGATTCGAACGATAAAAAATTCACATGGTCGCCGACTTTTTTCTGGAAATTTTTGTGTAAATTGCAAAGCCTCAGTGATTCCAAACTTTTGGCCGGTAGTGTATATGCACAAGCTTCCTCTCTGGAATTCCTAAAGGAAACAATGTTGCAAATGTAGGTACCTTATCCACAGACATGTTTGCTATACACACTCTCGCCCATACTCAGCTCGCTCTCATACTTGAACTGAAAATGAACAAAAGGCAAATTTAAAATTGAAAAAAAGAAAAATGTCGAAGACCAAAGTAAACGTAGCTCGAAGAATCGACAAAACTATCGGACAAACCTAACCCACGAAGGGAGAGACTGAAAGAGGGTGTTTCAACCGATTACTACGATCAGAATGAAACGTTAATTGACGGGTGATGATCAAAAAGTGAACGTAAAGCGCGTCGGTGCACGGGTTACGGCCAAGTATCGAGCCGTTAATTTCAAATAAACGGAAAAGCACGTTCACCGCGGCGGCGACTTTCACTGTCTGGCTGCCGCGGCGAGCACAGAGAATACTGGAATTGTTGGCAAAGACCGACGAATTGCGGTAATATCCGAGAGAGCCTCGACGATCCGTAAGGCGGATCTCTGGGATCTCGTGGATCGATGAGTCCTCTCTCTCTCTCTCTCTCTCTCTCACACACCTTTTATTCTACTCCTCGCGGTTTTTCCGTGTGAAACGTCGTGCACAGAGGTGTTATTAAACAGGGCAACGGAACGTGAAATCGCTCCTACGGTATACAGAATGGTCTGCTCGAGAAATCGCGAGAAGTATGAAGTATGTAAGCTGGAATCGGTTCGCCATTAACGTTGCACACACGTCGATTCCACGTAGATTTCCGTGGTTCTTTTACGCGGTTCTTGCTCGTAAATTCCGCGAGTTAGTTTCAAAGATGTTAGAAGCATAGGAGATTACGTTTTTGCGCGGTATTACCGATACTCTTTGGTGGCCGTTTCGCGTGGTCGGCGGAAGAGGGTTTAGGAAAATGGAAAAATGTTAAACGTCCGAGTTGAATCGTTCACTTTTTGACGAATAGACATTTTCCGTGGAAAAAAATTGCACGGTTTTTACGAAAATTTTGATATCCGATTTTTATCGACTGAAAATCGCCGTAATTTTTCAAATGTCACCGACAGTTATGGAAATTATTTCGAATATTGCAATTTACGTTTGATTTTTCTTCTAAATAAAGGTTGAAGTTTGTGAAAAGAGACATCTGATATTGCCGCTTGTGTGAATACAACGTGACAAGTATTATACAAACATTTCAACTTCCTCCATTCGTCTCCATTCCCCGACACAGTGAAATAAGAAATCTTAATGCAGTTACACAAGACCATAAATTTAATTGAATTTTCACTACGAACCGCGGAACCCGTAGAGATATATAATTCGTTAAAAAAAAGAATCGTAGAAAATGAAGATGCAGTTACAAGATTTGATTTTTCCCTTGAAATACTGTTTCTATTAAATTACACTTATGTATCCTGCTGGACACATGGCAAATCGTATCGTCATTTACAACATACACGACACGCTAATGGCAATCTCCATCGGGATCTGCGGCAAAGTGTTAAAATAAATCCCAACGGAAATCATCACCGTAGCGTAACAAAAAGAAAGAATCCCGCAGAAATCTCAACCTAACGATAATAGCCCAATATCTCTAAACTGCATAAAATCTCCATACTCGTTTTACTCCGTGTACACGAGATACTCGAATTATATCGGAGAACGCTGAAACTATAGAAACGAAGTGAAACTTGCCGGTCGCAGCCATTAACTCCGCTCGATGTGTTTAATCATATTTATCCACGAACGAATAATTCAGTGTAATCGGATAAACGAGCTGGTATATACTCCTCTAGAGCGTGCTCGGAAAGATCAAGTTAAACGGAGAGAAGCTGGCATTACATTGCAACCTCCGACCCAGATAAAGAATGCTACGGTGCACTCGTTGCAGGTGAATGCACCCGGCACCGGGAGAGACCAGCTTGGGATCTCGATTAATCGGGGGGAAAAACGCGTGAAATTTTGGACGATTATTGAAAATTGAGGGAAAATTCGAAAATATTCGATATTTGTAAGAAACGAAGGGAGAGACCAGCCTGGGATCTCGATTAATTGGGGAGAACAGCTTCCGAACGTGTGAAGAGACACGCAAAATTTTTAATATTCATAGAAAATTCAAAAATTTTCGATATTCGTAATAAAAACGAAGGGAGAGACTAACCTGGGATCTCGATTAATCGGGGAAAAAACGGCTTCCGAACGTGTGAGTAAACGCGTGAAATTTTCGATGATTATTGAAAATTCGCGGAAAACTCTAAAATATTCGATATTTGTAAGAAACGAAGGGAGAGACCAGCCTTAGATCGCGATTAATTTGAAAAAAAAAAAACAGCTTCCAAACACGCGAAGAAGCACAAAATTTTGGACGATTATTGAAAATTCACGGAAAATTCGAAAATATTCGATATTCGTAAAAAAAAAAAACGCCATTCTAACAACGAAATAAAAAAAAAAATAATGCAATTTTCCATAGTAATCTGTGGCGTATTTGAACGATGACTCAATGTTTGCTCGTTACTCGGTGAACCCGTGAAACTTTCCAAAACAAGATCATTCCGTATTAAATATCCGTTGCACGCGTTAAATTACTGGTATCATAATGCCAGCACAGCTTCTTATCGCTGCTTATTCGGTTGGTAAATGCATCGTCTGAAAATAGTTGGATCTTTGCTTAAAATTCCTCCACTTTGCCTCAGGTATACATATATGCATACGTAAACACCTGATGCGTGTAAAATATGTATCCAGTGTCAATTTGTGTTTCTTGAACGTTGCAAGAAACCTGTTCGATCTGCTAATCGAAATATCTGTTATCACGGTGTAATTTCAATGTATGCAACCGTCGGTTAAATTCCAATTTATACTTGTTCGACGTTACCTTCCTATATATTTGATTATCCCGTAAAATTCATGTCTGTAATACTCCTGGCAAACTTTTAAATTTCATGAAAAACACTTGAGCTTCTCTCTCTTTTTTTTTTTTTTTTTTTTTTTTTGGAAGATTATTATAGAATTTCCCTGAAGTTTCATTAAAATGTCCCGGGACGAGCTAATAGTATCAGTGTTTGGAAAAAATATCGAAGAAAACGGCGAAATTACGCGTATTTGACGAGCGTAGTTTGGATAGCGTTATTTATAGTGGAAGAATGGCGAGAAATGATGCAGCACGATGCATTGAACCAAACGTGTAACAGGTATGCGAAGGCGGTTTTTCCGCGAGCATGGAGGGGAGGAGCACAGTCAAGGCAAAAGTAGGGTAAATGTATCCACGTAGGCACACGACTCTCCTTTGTAGATCAATCAGAGCGAGCTAAGAATTTTTGTCGAACAGAATTCTCCGGATTAGCGGCGGTTCACACTGTGGGATCGGTGAATGATACTATAATACGACAATAATGCTTGAATTATTCAACACAGCATGTCGTAACTCCTCGATCATTATATAAATTGTCATATTCCTTTTACAAACTGTCTCTGTGTAATCGAATTAAAAAATTATTCACTTTCGTGAATATTCTAGAAACGTGATTTAATTGGACGCACATGCTTTCCAACTACTGCTTGATTCGTTGATCTATTACGTCTCGAAAAGAAGGAAGAAACAAAACTGTTTTCGACGAGAAAAATATTACGGTGTATTTTCACGATCGTTTGAATATCACGTGATTCCGTTCGATCTATTCGTTAAACTCGAGAATATTCCGGCGGAAAAAGGAGAGACGGTCGAACGAGTAAGGACAAAGTGGAGCAGGATAACGCTGTTTATCTCGTCATCTGTTAGAGAGCAAGGAGGTTGGAAAGACGAAAAGGCACGATCAGCCGTGTCCGGTGCGTTTAAGGTCAACGGACGGGCAACGCGAAGTAACCGAACGCATTTGTACGGCGCACACAGCCCAAGGTATATGGCGAACGCGACGGACGGATTCGCGACATTCCCGTAGCTGTCACACTTGTCAATCGCCGCGAACCGTTCCAGCGGCAAACGCTTGGATCGTATGTAGCCCGAGACCAAGTTCAGTAAACGTTTAGTACTCACCGAGTATCGCCTGGAGGGTTTGCTCGTCCCCGTCCCCGATGACATCCATACCTCCGTTGATAATCGGACCCCTGAGATCTTCCGGGCCCGATCAACGGGCCCCATTTTGTCTCCAGGCTACGATGTCACTCGACGCGACGTCCCACATAGTACGCGACGTTTAATGTAACTCTCTTCCGTTTTTTTGTCTCTCTCGCTCGCTCTCTCTCTCTCTCTCTCTCTCTCTCTCTCTCTCTGCCCGCCTCTTTTATACTCCGTCTCTGTTTCTCACGGTAACCAACCGCGCACTGTTTGTCCTTCTCTAACCGTGTTTTTCCCTCGAAATTCACCGAACGAAACAGCTCCGCGAACCGATACCTCCTCCTTTCGTGTGGTCACTATGTGTGTTTCCTTGTTTTACCTCCCGAGTGCAGCGACACGATCTACGAACGATCGCCGTCGAGAATCGGCACGGCGAAACACGACGACAATGAGAGCATCGCGAGGGAAACAAATGTCGGTAATCCGAAAAGAGAACCGCCGGTAACACCACTACGGACGAACCTGTGTGCGCCGCCTGCTTCTTTTTTTTTTTCCTCTCCGTCGAGAACGATTTCTCCGTGCGTTTATTCTGCTGCTGGCTCGTACACCCAGGAGCCGTGTCGAATCCCGAGGCGCGGACTAAACTTGAGTTCCGTGCCGACACCACACGCGCACGATACGTAATACATGCAAACGCGCCCCGTGCATGTCGCGCCGCGAACAAGACGGTCACGTGACCCTGGTTCAGTCTACTCTGTGCGAAGTTTGAAAGAAGCGCGCATCGTCGATCGCTCGATGAAATCTGCTCGGGTTTTCGCCGGTGAAATATAAACGGTCCGACTGTTCGTCGCAGGATAATTAGCGTTGTTCGAGATAACGTCGTACTAGTGTATTCGTTGCAACGTTGTGACGATTCGTGCAGTGATTTTAATGTGCGAGAGAAACTTTGAACGTCAGCAGAGAAACTTTCTGGACACAAGATGGCGGCACCGAACTGTACATCGCGCGGTAAATCGAAATTAGTGAATCTGCTGTATCGGAGTGCACTTGTGTTTTGAGAGTGGTATGAATGTTTTCTGCAGAATGGAGCAGCGAATTCTTTTATGTCAGCTGTACGTGTCCGCGAGAATGTAAGTTATTGATAAACTTTGTAGTTGACATTTTTGTACCTACATACATATACAAATGAGTAATTGAGAGATAAGTGACGCATATTTTCTGACTACACTTTTTCCGCTTATTAACGGTAAACAATTATGCTGGATTTAATAAGATAGAGTAGAAATTCTGGTTGGCTGTAAAAATAGAGTTTTATTCTTGGATAAATAATGATCAGTATCATCCTTCATGGCGATGGAGGTATAGAATGAACATAACGTATTATTTCCATGTATTTACATTTCGTATCTTAAAATCTAGAAAGGTTAGCAAGTGATATGTCAGAAAGATAAATACAATTTTTTTTTTTATAACAGATATAAACTACGGATTCAATTGTGTTCGTAATACATAATGCAAACGTTCGATAACATTTCCCGCGTAAATTGGTGTTTATAATCAATATGGCGGAGTACAGGTTGAAGCCGTTATTTAAATTTAACGAATTTTATTCTTGAATATAAATACACAATAATTTATAAAATACACAAGTTTCAATAAACAGGATATAACGTAAACCATATCGTAAAATTATTATAATTATAAATAATTATTCCTTGGTACGATTGAAAACAAAATTCGATAAACGCAACCGTGATAGTACTCCATTTTGCTAAGAAAGTACACACAAACATTGCATGGGACTATAAACATTTATTACGTCACATAAGTACAATTGAACACCAAAGGGCTTCTAAATTATTATTATTGTTGTTATCGTTACGTTATTAATACGTTTACATTAAAGTTGCTCAAGGCGTTATATATTCATAAATAATTTACTCTTGATCTGCTTACACAAATACATAGTCTCTTAAATATATTTTGCTCTCTGTACAACATATGTACAAGTACATATAATATATGTATATATATTAGTATATATGTATACATATCACAATCTTTCGCTCAAAAAATTCACGTTCACACCCGTTCACTTACAAGACAGAAGAATTCTGAGGCGTTATATTGATATTTTGAATGGTAGATGTTACAACACGTCTGATGAATAGGCTGATTATGTTTTTGGAACAACACTGGAACTCACTACTGCACATCCATACAAACAATTGCCAAGATTATTCGTGACAAAGTCCAAAATCCAAACGCATAACCTAGTAGAATAATAGATCGAAACCGGAATTCGATGGGATAATCAATTGTAAGAGAAAAGAAAAGATGAATCAAAGTTCCATACAACAATCATTAATCATCGTAAATCTTACAAGAGTCTGCAATATATCTCGTTACGGTATGCAACATTAGTGAATACTAATAACAACTTTGGTATTGTTACAACGTCGAAATCGAGCCGTAAAAGTTCTACGCTGAAAAATGTTACTGTTCTCGACTATTGCCATTCTTGTCGGCAAATTCATTTCCAATCTTCTTAGAAGCTCGTAAACCACATTTATTGTCAGCTACAGACTAATATTCGAACAAGCAAACCGATCGTTCGGAAAAAAGCAGCGGCTCTTTTTGTTACTAATTCATGAGACTGTATTGGAATTTTTTTTGTTCTTTAAATATTAATTCGTACTCGAGCGTACTGAACAGAATAAATAATTACAGTTTTGTACATAATACTTAGAGAGAATGCTATACAACTTTAAATCTTGGTTTTTGTTTTCTATATCTGGAATCGATAAAGTTTGCTTTGAGATTCAGGTGAACAAACCAACCCTACACAATTTGCTATACTTTTTTTTTTTTCGTTTTCTTTCTTTTGTTTAAAGTGAAACTACATTTCTTACGACCTTATAACGTCACGAATTTTCCTTTGTATTACAGAAGCATATTATTTCTAGTTAGATTTATAACTTATATAATAAACGTATTGTACTACCTGCATTCAGTCTTTGTTGATAAATTAATTAAAAGTCATGGAAATTATTGTGTTCGTATAACTGTAAAATTAACTAGGAACTACAAATAGGATAAAAATATTTAATTGATCTGGGTCCCAATTTTTAACAATCATCTGCCTTTCTGCGTTTTATGATTTTATCATTTCAGAATAATCAACACTGTTAGCATTCGTTTCTGTAACTGTATACTGGACAGCTGCATGAAATTTTCGCAACAATTCACTGCACTGGAAAGCTAAGAAAGAACTGCTCGTATCGTAGAAAGTACAGGACTCTGAGAGGATACCGTAATTGCAAATGTTCAATAACTGACAAATCTAATTTGTAGCACACAGAGAATGCATAAAAATCTGAATCAATATTCTGACAAACCCTGATATCTCGTGAGTCGAGTCGAAAAATTTTCTCCACATTTGTCAAACAGTTTTAATTCCGTTTAAGAATAGTGTACTCCTTAGAACATGAGTCAATAAACCGTTTACCCTTGTCTTGAGCTTTGTGACTGATATTAATTGTCAACGATTCGTCATGGCAGTATAGAAATGGCAGCTTATTTAGTGAGACGAAACTCATCTTGAATAAGTGAAGATCAGGCGGGACATCCGTTGGTCTCGTGTCGAAATTGAGATTCTCTTCGTAGTATTCCCTTCGTGGCAGAGAGATATTCACACCTGGACGAAGTAATATGTTGCAGACAATATCCCACAGTCGTTTCGTAAACCTTTTCATAATAACTCTCAGACGAATTTTTCTTCTAGTGAACTCTTATCAATTCCCATAGTCATCTCGTTTGTCGCTTCAATCACCTGAACTCGCTAGTTTACCACCATCTAACGTCTGCTCGTATAGACAAAGTGCACGGTGAACAAATTCATACTGCTCCGCCGTTTGAACCATACCTCCTCTGTCATATCTGAACCAAGGAAGGATTATTTTACAAAATTAAACATTTGAATAAGTTATAATTTCGACTTAGGTAAATTCAATTTCTTACCTCATTTGACACAGAATACCCAAAACGTCGACATTTCCGTCTCTCAATAACTGTATCATTCCTGTGGCTAAAGCTATGAAACAACCAGTTCGTCCAATTCCTGCACTGCAGTGAACAACAACCGGTCCTGGCAGAGAATTAACTTCTGCAGCTAAACTAACAAGGGTATCCGCAGCTTGAGGTACGGCATGGTCCGGCCATGAATCATACCTATAGTTATTTATCGACGTTGCGTTAATTGATCTACGTAATAGAGGATAAATGAGATAAGAGGTTCAATTTTAATTACCAGTAATGCTGCACGTGTCTTCTGTCCCCTTCGTATCTAAGTTCTAAATCTCTGATAGTGTAGCCGTCTCTTGCGTCAATGGAGTTAACGATAATAGTAAAAGGTCCAGCTTGTATGCGACTGTTTTTGTCCAACGGGAAGTACGCCTCGCATTTTGTTTTGGCGGCTTCGTGTAGTTTTGTCATCATAACAACCGCGGGAACTTTATCTGCCCAGACCATTTTCCAAAAGTCACCTACTGTGTGAGCCAGTGGTCCCTGTGTTGCAATGTAGCGAGCATCTTCTCCGTCGTATCCCTGTTTAATGAAGGACAATAAATAATAACGAGATACTATAATTTTCGTTCGTTCGATCGTGTTTCAAACCTACTCGAATGTAGTTGGCGTTGATGTAACTGGAAAGGGGATCATCAGAAACTCCCGGTAAAATTACCCTCGACTGTGGATTTGGTAACACAGAACAGTATCTATTCTTTACTCCGGATCCACAGATATCTAATTTTTCGGGCAAATTGAGCGGCACTTCCCAAAATTCTTTATGCAACGATGCTGGATCACTGATAGCTTTCTTAAGCTGCGATCTGGATAGAACGTTTCCAGCGCTCAGTAAAAATTCCTCCGCGGTACATTCTCGAGTAGGTGTAACAATGTGTGGCGGGCTTTCAGGAGGTGGTGCCAACTCTATAGTTAAACTTGCACTTGATCCACGTCGTTCTAACAATCCTTTAGCTTTTATCCGTATTGGTTCCGGTCTGCGTTCTGGTGTTGCTACTGACATTACCTAATGGAAACGGAATTTGTTAGTCTTAATAGCCCCTTTTCATAGTAAATTATATTGAGTACTTAACAATCATACCTCTGGCAAGCCAGTAGCTTGAATAATTGGTCTGGCAGATTGAATAGATTGAACAGATGGTTTTACAGTAGGTTGATGAACCCATTCAATAGATCCTTTTGCAGGTTTGATAGGCTTTTCTGGAAGGCCTACAGCACCTTCCTCTACCAAGCCTCTCCTATCACCATCCTCTGTATCCTTTTCACGCGACATTTGTCTCCGCAGCCATAACAAAACCTGAAAAAGGAACTGATTGACAATATTTTGATCAAGCATATGTATTAAGCATTGTAACATTGAAAGTTTATAAAAACCTACCAGGAATGTAAAGAGAATAGCGCCACCGATGGCGCAAAGTACTACGAACTGGGACAATTGCCAGTCTAGCCATGATAAAGATGCAGTGGAGCGTACCTCCTGACCTGTCCGGGTACTAAATTGAGCTGCTTGCAAATCCATTCCAGCATCATCCAGTCCCGTTATGGACTGCGGGATCCTATGTATAGAAAGGTGATATCTTAAATTGATATCAAATTGATTGCTACATGAATTAATGTTACTCTCAAGAATTTTCAATATATGCATTAAGTATAAAGTGTTGAATAATGTACCTGTGATGAGATCGAGCAGACATTCCCTCGGTAGATGGCAATAAAGGAATAGGCAGCACAGTATCTGTGTGCCACCTTTGTTCGGTAATTAAGTAAAACTTCTCCAAAGGATCTGAATTGTCATCATTACTTGAAATGTCATAGTAATTGGCATCATTCACATAGTGATTAGTCAAAGGAGTACTTGTACCTCCTGGAACATGAATGAAATCAAACTTTTCTTTAACATCTCTCTCAATATCATAACAATATATGTATAATATAATAATATTATTATTACACATATCATATGTACTTAAGATTTACTTATCAATACTGGAAAAATTATCTAATTAATTAATGTAAAAAGTTTTATCGATATCTACAGCGAGTAAACATTATCAGATATCAGGCATTAATAATAATATATAACGTCATCTCTCTATGTCCATAGAACAAAATGAATTTCTTTTATCTAACGAACACAACGACCGGTATCTTGAACATGTTGTAACGTACTAAACGTATTTGCGCAACGTTACACGTGGAAGCACACGCGTTGAACGGAGAATCTTCACCGAGTCACCGACGTTATACATTTTCGTCTCTCCGATTAACGCTATACCAAACACTTTTCCATCCTATCGCGTAGTCTGTCACACAACGGACGTATACCACTTAACGCCGATTCGAATTCTCAGCCTAACGGAAAGAATCTCCTCGGAAGTAGTTCCTTCCGACTTCCGTGCCGTTCCACAGGAAGTAAACATCGCGTTAGTTTTATGAACGGAGCGCACCAAGGAAATTCTGAAGTGGGGAAGGGTGACAGGGTAACGAGCAGATGGAGTATACACCAATGAGAGAACTGCATGTGACAAGTGGATGAATAGACGTCGTTCCAGTCACCAACACAACCGTACAACGGCCAGCGTCCGTACACGCGCACTTCCCCATTTACACACAAACACGAAAACAAGGAACACGAATAAACTACATCCTGTTTTCGAACCGTGTGTACACACTACTAAAGGCGTATGTGTACGCGTCGAATAGAACACACGAGCGTGGAGACGAATTAACGGAAACGAAGAAAAAAATTAAAAGTGGAGGGGAAACACACGTTGATTAAAAAAAATTCGATCGATACCTTTAGCCAGTAAGAGGCACATAAGGAACACGAGGATCGTGCGGTACGGTATAACGTATGAGTCGCAATTTGAATGTAGCGGTTGCGTGGACTTGTAAACAGCCATGTTGAGATATCGTCGTCAGACCCTAGCCGGTCTCGTCTGCGCAAGCCTCTCTTTCGAACTGCCGAAGACGCCGTTCGTGTACCCTGACCTGGGCTTCGGTTCGCTTCGGCCATGCGCTCGGTTACGTACGGGAGGAAATATCAGCCAATCAACGGCTAGCCGCACGCAAACGTCAACCAATCGCGCGGACAGTTTACTACCAGTACCGGGAATTTGGCGGGAGGGACTCAAGGTGAATGAAAGCGAAGCACGTGCAACTAATGATAGTAAAGTGCATTCGGAATGAAGTTTTACGTTTGCCCATTGAGCCCGTGGCGAGAGAAGCGTTCTGTTCCGTCTCGAACTACACGGACACACGCGTCTCTCGTCTCCGATTCGCGTTTCATTCGATGTCGCGTTCTCACGCGGCCGGTGTCGCGATCACTTCCGGTAGTACCGTTTCTTTTTTCTCTCTCTCTCCGCGCTACACCGACGCGTGGAAACTTCTTTCTATGATTAGCACGGAGCAACTTTTCTATACGATCAAGAGATTTACTCACGGGATTGATTACAAAGAGACTGAAAGGAAAACATGATATTAACAAATTGTACATCGTTACACGGAAATTGATGTACGAATAAATCGGTACAAAGAAAGACGCGCATATATGACTCCCTAAGAGCGTTTATGGGTCACGGATACTCGTCACGGTGGTTAACTTAAAAAAAAAAAAAAAAAAAAAAAAGAAACATTTCTCTGCCGCGCTGACGCATCTCGGGGATGACGAATCATCGTATAGTTGTACGCTATGAAATTAAAGTTTCTCGTGATAAAAAAGAAAAAGAGGGGAATCGTTGGTATTGTACATGGAAATAGGCTTGAATTTTACCGTGTACTAAAGCGCCGTCGAAACACTGCTTCATGTTTGCAACCAGTAGATACTATGTCACTCTTCGATCCAGTAAAAACGAACGTGGCTCCTCTTCTATCCTTCGCGCAGACTTAAAATTCTTATTGACCGATGTGTAACCAGCGATGAAATAATCCTCGTTTATCTCGTGACCGACACATGATGCAAAACGGCGTCGATCTTGCACAAAGTTAACCGGCTACGCATGTTTAGCCTCACTTTATCAATTGTTCATCGGTTAAAACAATATTGGATCGACCGGAGAAAACGTCTAGGCGTGCGTCTTACGCATTTCTCAAGAATATCTCGGTGATTCAGAAAACCGGATGTTGCCCATTCATCCCTGCCATACCGCCCGACATCCAATATTCGCTCTGTCGAATCGGTTCTGTTTAGATTTCCAATCGTTTCGCTACGGGCGAAAGAATTCTTCTGGAACGATTAGAAAAATTCTATCCGTCGAAATTTCTTCAATTCTTTTTCGTGTTATTTCAATCGTCGATTCGAACATTTATCCTTGGATTTTGTTACTTATTTAACCCCTTGTCTCAACGCGTTGAGTCACACACCAGTGACGCACATTGTGGTCGAAAGACGACAAAGACCGGTTTATAAAGTCGAGAATTATTATACACACCTAACCCTCGGACGATTTTCATCCGACGGAAAAATTCGAGGTAATTTTATTCCAAGCGATTTCTCCTTTTTTCTCAATTTCTGCGCGATAGAAAGAAGAGAGAAATTCCTGTTTGCTTTGCCGAGAAGTTGACACGATCCTAAATTTGTCAACGGTGCACCTTTTTTTTTTATTACGTTTATAAAAAGAAAACACTCGAATGCGTGGTGTGTACCTTTCGTACAAAAATACCGTCTCCCGTTGCACAATTTTTAATCAACCAATGAACCGTTTGCGAATACGCTGGGGTTAGGTGTAGAAATTCTATCGAATATTCCAAAGCGATTTATCCAATAAAACCATTAAGTCAATGTAACGTTCGAACTAATAGCCAAAGGGGTGAACGTTTCGCATAGAGAGAGAGAGAGAGGGAGAGAGATTGATTTTTCGAAGAATTTTTTCATGCAGTTGTGTTATAGCCGGACTGGCCGCATGCTGCACCGATTACTCATATTACACAATACTCGTACTGTATTCCCCAGTAGCCGACGTTCAACGAACTCTCTCGTTTCTCTGAAGCTGCACCGCTGCCTACCGATGCCTGTCACTCAACAATGCTAACCGACTGTCATTGTTGCAACACCGGCACCGGTCTGAAAAATCAATAACCAGCCTGGCAGAACCGAATCTTCGAGCCTCTCTCGTTCTCTCTCTCTCTCACTCTCTCTCTCTGGTTGCCCGATGGACGGACTCGTAAATTAATTGATTCGAGTCTAGTCACGGCCGAACGGAGGCAATTCCCGCGGTATCGGTAAATACACACCGGACCGTCGTCTATCTATGGCACAATTGGACACGTAAAATCGTGTTATACTCTCCTTGTAAAACACTGTTTTCAACGTTGAAAAAACCTATTTCCTGGATATAGGAGTGTGTGTGTGTGTGTGCAGTCACATTTATTCGATAACACTCGATGCATCGATTACGCGAACCGAATTGACATTTAACCGGAGGTTTTTCTTCGTGACGTCAAGGTATAGTAACGTGGTCGTGGTCGTCATCCTTTGTGATGGTCGATTGATCTAACGATAAGAAGAAAGACGGAAAGGAGTGTATGAAAGATGGAACGTTCGTTGATAAATCACAGAGTGTTTCGTCGTTGTTGAGAGGAGGATAAAATGGATCATTATTGGAAAATTTCGGTGGAGAGGAAAATTAGTAGGTAGATGAAGCACAGATCGAAGCACTGACTGAGAGGGAAAGTTGTGCCGGCGAAGACGACGACGACGAGGTTTCACGAATGTACGCGAGCGTGGATCTGCACGAATCGTAGGGCGGTCGTGGCACCGACTAAATTAGAGGCTCCATTCACCCTTCGGAGGGAGCTTGCGAGCTTTCGTAGGGCGCACACAGCCAGACACGCACTTGCGTAAAATTACGTGCCGTCGATTCCGAACGTGGAACGCGTGGGTGGTATCGGGACGTCTTTCAAGGGGTTTTTGCCGGGGAGGATTGCTGGGGGAGACGTGAAAATACGGGAGGAAGATTTAGGGATTTATCGGAGTAGAATGGCGAATTCGAGTCGCGTGGATATGGTCGAGAATTGTTTAGAATATTGTGTAAGTTTGGTGAATTTTTTCTTTTTTCTTTTTTAGTTTGTTCGATGAAAATTACGAGCGTGCTCGTATTTTCAGTGGAGAAATGCTTTTTCCGCGAGGGTTCTGGCTATTTTGGCTTCTTTATTTTGAACAATTAGTTTGAAAATTATTCTGCGAGAGGCATTTTGCAGGAAGTGAATTAACGGGGAAAATTATCGAGCTGCATTTTGGATTCAAATTGAATTATTCTAAAATCAAGCGCTCGAAATAATATAGCAAATTTATTATTTTGCGTATTGTAAAAGTAAGAAGTAAAAACTAGAGAATAGAGAATAATTCTACAAATGCAGTAGCAAAAGTTCGGTCATCAAGAATGCTCTAAGCGAGTCATTTTCGACTGCGAAGGTACAGGCGATAATTAGAAATATGTGTTTAGCACGGTGCATTGATGTTTCCGTGCACGCAAAAAATCTCGAATCACCCTATAATTAGCGTGGTGCAACGAGGCACGATAAGTTGTCAGTCAAAGGATTTCGCCATCTGCACGGCTGGATAGACGCATCCAACAGAGCTGAGCGAGTGCTCAATGAAAACTCGTTTAACGTTTACTATAAAGCGTTCGTTATTCATCGTGTGTCATTGGCCGCGGACGGTCCTTGCAACGAGCGCTGATAAAGCGCTTTTGAAAATCGTCTGTCGAAGGTTCCGTCGATAATTCTACTTTGCACTCCACCTTCGCGATTACCTTCGGGATATTCCTAGTCTCTCTACTCGATCGTTGTTTCAATTCGCGTCTCGAAAATCTCCCGTTTGTATTTTTTTTTTTTCCTTTTTATCAATTACCAGAATAAAAGAGCTGTTTAATATTTATTCGACGCTGACGTGACGTGATGTCACACTTTTCGTTCAATTGTCGAACAGACAATCAGAAGAGAAATTTTCAAGACTGAGATTATCGATTAGCCCCCGAGGCACGGTGTGTCCATTAACTTATCTAGATTTGTCCCATAAACCCGTGTACCTCCGTTAATATTCCAGATACCAATCTGAAATTTCAATCTTTTCACCCTTTTGTTCGAATGAAATATCCGGCAAAAAGTCACCATTTCTCTATGATGTTCTAACGCTTCTCAGATTACCAATCTGAAATTCTCATCTTTTCACCATTTTGTGCGAACGAAATGTCCGCCGTTTCTCTATAAATTCTCGAACGTTTCAAAATTCGTCCTTGAGAATCTTCGGGAACCTTGAATTTCCCCCGTGACGTAGAACACGTTTAAACAGTTTAATCAGTCACGGCCGAGTTGCTCGAAATTGTAACAAGCGGGCGGAGAGAAACGAGGAGAAGAAAAGGAACCGGGCGAGATTTAACGATTGGACAAAAGGGAAAAGAAAGGAAGTAAATTGCGAAAGTTGCCGCGACGGGGGATGTTCTCGTGACGCGTGGGTGGGAAAAGAAAATCGTGTAGTGTGGAGACGGTTTCCAAGGGCGATAAACATAACCACTCGAAGCCAGTACCTTGATATTATCCTTTTAGGATGTTCCTGCCGGCCCCAGTCGAGACTTCTTCGTCCAGAGGAAGTGGCTGTCCCGGCGTGTG